ACTCCTGACCCCAAGGGAGCCCTCCTGCTCCGGATTTACATCATCAAGCTGCTCCACCACATGGTTTGGATATTACAACACTTGGGTGCTCTGTCCGTGATTCGAACTCCCAACACTGGGGTTGCAAGCCCAGCCTTGCACTGTCTTTGCCATCTCGGATGTGCCCCGAGGCACTGAAATTTCTTCTTTTGTATGTATATAATATGGGTTATGCATTTTTCTGTGTTTTGAAATATGGGCTTTGATCAGTGATTACATTTTGATGAATTTTATGCCTTTTCATTAATTGTACTGTACGTTTCTTATGCGTATTTTGGTGGGTTTTCTTGTTTGATTTTCTCTGAATTTTATTCTTCCTCATTTGCATTTGGATGATTGTTCAGATGATTATCTCTTTGCAGCTGGTGATTGAGAATACGGGAAAAATAAGAAGAGATTAAAATGTATGATTTAGCGAATTCAGGTTCTCTTAAGTAATGGTGATTTTCAGATCCTATTGAGTCCTGCTCTTTTTGTACATTAAATTTTTTAAAGCTTGTTTGGCAGGGATTAAAATCAGATTAAAATTGAAAATATAGTTGTTAGAGTTGACTTTTATTAGACGAGTGGGACCCAATAACGACTATATTTTCAATTTTAATTGTATTTTAATCATTTCCAAACAAGCTTTTAGGCTACTGAGTCTTGCCCTCCTTAAACATCTGTTTTTCTTGTTAATGGAATGATTCTTTCAAGTAGATGATAAGTTACTGAAAGAGAGAAGGTAAGTTGGTAATTTTGAACTGTTAAATATATTTGTTGAAAATTTAGCTCAAATGAATCTATGCTGACTGTATTAATTGTTTGAATTATTAATTAAAGTTCTTACTCTATTAATCTTCAAGATTGTCAATTTTCTATGGTGTTTAGGGTACATTTGGAGTTATTTCGATATATTTAAAATCGGCATGTTAAACTGGCTTGTTTATGATGCATTTCCATTTAGAGTAATGTTATTTATCCACGGTGGGGATAAAAACACAATTTAGGTGGTTTTAAATGATAGGTTAAATGAAAGGTGAAATTAAATGACTTATTTAATTTCACATTTAATGCCACATTAACGTCATGTAAACTGTGTTTTCATCCCCAGTGGAGATGAATACCATTACTCTCCATTTAATACTTAAAAACGAGTTAGTAAAAGAATAAATATTTGTTTTTATATCTTGTCCGTACCAAAAATTTTAAATGCAATAATTCTACTAGATTAAAGCATATATTAGTTACACGAGAATCCAACACATTTAGTACACTAACATTACCTTAAAGAAAATTCGGCCCGTGCATTGCACGGCAAAGACTAGTATAATATAAATGTCTCTTATTCAGTTGAGAAAATTTGTGGTCACATGTCCCCGTTTGGCTTCCATTTTTTGGAACTCTTTTTTTCTAACTAATTTTCATCCACACATTTCATGGAACGCGGAATGTTAACTTTTTTTTATTTTCATATTTTGCTTACTTCTCATTGACATTTTGTCGTTGAAGTGATTCCGTGGTCTAAACGGATAGGCAGAACCGTGGAAATATGACTCCACCTATGAAGTTTTGAAATTTGGAAAATGAAAGAGCATTTTTCTAGTAATTATAGTGTCGTAAAAGAAAATCCTTCGAGTCTGGCCATTTTCATTCTTCCCCGCGAGTCAATATCCCAGTCTAGGGGGTGTAATTGGGCCGGACCGATCAGCACAAAC